CCTGGAGCAATCGATGGAACCGAGCGACGCAGCCTTTCGCTTCTGGGCCGTTGGATAGTCACATTTCAGGCTTCTCGCTGAGCAACGTCGACAAGGGTTGCCCTTGGTGCATCGTACACGGCTCACAGCACATTCTCGACAGGCTCTTCCATTTGTGCCGACTTCATCGTGACGATCAAGATCGTGTGTCGCGGCATGGCGACTCAGGACGTCTCTAAAATGTGCAATGTCAGCGGTTGATCCCCGCTCTGGTAAGAGGTAAGATCCGGATGGGATTGAATCACTGTCGGGAGAATGCCTTGCCACAAACGGAGCAGCTAAAGGGGCGCTCGCTGGTATGGATTCGCATGTGTCTCGTAAGATGCTCCTGGCGCTCAAATGTTGTTTCGCAGATGTCGCATTGGATGGGAGCGCGTCGAGACACGCGGCGAGAAGGGTCGTCCATTTGGCCGGACCCCGAACATGTCTGAATATCTTGCGTAAAGAGGAGCAATTGGCGGTGGAGGACGAGGAGCTAGATTTGAGAGATGATGAAGGAGATCCACGACTTAATGTTGGGGGCAGGGTAGGTCGCCTTTCAGTAAGGTGCTTGGAGCTGGGCGAGGGCGAGTTAGTTCCCTGAACTTTGGGGAAGGCACCACCGGCCGGATGATCCCTGTAGTGTGCGGAGGCAGGTGCGGGGTCTGCGCATAGAGCTTGGGGAAGGTGCATCTGGGGAGGTGCTTTCCTGCCTCAACGTGGTCTGGTGCGTGAATGACTTCAAGGGTGAAAAGATTCATTTCGTTCTATAGACATTTTCACCACATCCTCCATATCGAGATCTAGCACAAAATCTACCCACGAGACGGCCGTCAAGGCTTTTTGCGCCGGACGAAGACTGGCATCGATTCCAATGGACAATCCACCTTAATCCTTTGGGCTCCCCCATAAGACTGACCACCAGTTTCAGGGGAGAATGGAGCCCACTCTTCGACCTCCGGAAGCCGGGGAAGATATAACTCTCTATCTCTGGCGCCAGGCTTCAAAACGGGACAGCAAAGGTACCTGTCGCCATACATGTATTGATCTTCGACCTCCCAGCTCTCCTTATCTGCGGGGAATTCCCAGAACAAGGGTCTCATGACTGGTGATCCCTTCTCATGAGCGTCCTTCATCAATTGCCTCGTGTAAGAGCGCATGTCTTCCCGGATGCGCAAATATTTGCGGCAGATTTCGTAGACTTCCGGGCCATACGACCACACTTCGTTCGGCGCACCGCTGCGCGAGGCCTCGCCGGTCCCCTTTTTCGGCTCTCGATCGCCATGCAGTCTCATGACGGGGCAGAATGTTCCCCATTGAAACCAGCGTACGAAAAGCTCGCGGAAAGCCTCGTCATCTGGGTTGCCCCCATGGAACCCGCCAATATCCGTCGTCCACCATGGGAGGCCCGCAATGCCCATGTTGAGGCCAGCTGCCAACTGGTTTCTGAAGCTCGCCCAGGAAGAAGCTATGTCGCCGCTCCAAACAAGGGCGCCATACTTTTGACTGCCGGCCCAGGCGCAACGAAGAAGGTTCACGATATTGGTCTGCCCCTCTTGTTCCATTCCCTCGTAGAATGTCCTGGCGTAATCCCGAGGGTAGATGTTCCCGACGCTCAGAGTCGGTCCAGCGTGGTATCGATAGTTATCAAAGTCATAGACAGAGTACTCGGGTTCGGCTTCATCTAGCCAGAATACCTTGATCCCCTTTGCATAGTAATGCTGCTTTGCCTTGTCCCAAACATATTGGCGGGCATCTGGGTTAGTTGAATCGTAATAGACGGTTTCCCCGCCAAAATCGAAATTGGTGCGAATGCCGCGCTCGGTGCGAACCAAGTACCCACGCTCCATCATTTCTTGGTAGTTTTGCGAGCGTTTGTCCACAGTAGGCCAAATGGAGACCATGAGCTCAATCTTCAGCTCGCGAAGCTCTCGAACCATCGCGTCTGTCCATGGACATTGCCGGTTAGAGTGCGTGTCTTCGTTGGGGCCACGTACTGCCCGAGGTCAGAATCAGGAATGCTTACCTGGATCAGGGAAATGGGCACTATCAAATTTCCATTCACCTTGCATAGGCCAATGGAAAAAGTCGATGACAATCAGATCGATAGGCAGTTCTCGCCGCCTATACTCCCGCGCCACCTCCAAGACTTCCTCTTGCGTCTCGTACCGCAGTTTACACTGCCAGAACCCCAGTCCATATTCCGGCATCATTGGAACCGTCCCAGTCACCTGGGCATAAGACTCTGAGATCTCTGCCGGTGTGTCTCCGACGACAACCCAATAGTCCAATGCCTTGGTAGCATAGCCCTCGAAGCTGGTGACATTCTTACCGAACACGGCCCGCCCTATGGCTGGATTGTTCCAGAGAAAGCCGTAGAA